AAACAGCTTCATCTTAATAAAAGTGATCATATTTTAAGTTTCCACACTGTGAATGTAAGAGCTTTTTACCTCTAAATATTTCTGAGCAGCCAAATTTGTCTTACTTGTAAACAAAGGGAAAGTGTAGCAGCCTTGTTTCAGCCAGCTGATGGTAAGGAACCCAGAAAATGGTATGGGAGCATTTTCTCTGGCTTAATAATAAAAGGGCTTTATACTGTATGAATGGTGCATCACGACGACCTTTTGGTAAATTGAGGGCGAACAATGACGTTTGGTTCCTGAACATGTGAATTTGATCCAAACATGCTTGTCCTCTAAATGTTGGATTTTATGTGTATCACTCAAGCAGTGCTGCGGTTTAAATCAGCTTGTTTTGATTTTAATTTGACAGCTTCTTGCGGATCATAAATGAATATCATATTGCTATATGCAGCCATTTTAAACTGCTGGCTCTTGTGGCTCCAACCAGCCCCACTAAACATTAAAAAGCCCTCGTACAAGGTGTGAAGCATCTTGATAGTTACGCTTGATCCCCCGTGGATTATTGGATGCAATGCATAGTATTTCCCAGCAGGGGGTGTGTGGTGATATCATAAAGTTTAAAGACCACTACGACATTTATTGACTGTTCTACTGAATCGCAGACAACTTCCTCTCCTTGTCTCATTTCTCATTGTTCACGTTTACCTTAAATTTGATGATGACGCCACGTTGCAAAAAATAATGCCTTTCCCATACTGATATTTTAGTCCAACACGCCCATACATACATCCACTCATTATATTTAAGTACAGTGGAGAACACACACACCGATGCAGAGGTTAGTGAGTGTGTGTGTCTCTCTGCTGCCCTTGTTATGTATTGCTGTTTATCCAGACAGGGTCAGCTCTTGCTATGGCTTCATTCCTGATGACAGATTTATGAGTGTTTGCCAGAAACCTAGCAGGGCGCCTGCTGTGACTGAAGCACCCTGTGTGTGTGTGTGTGTGTGTGTGTGTGAAGGAAGACGGCATGTTTTTTAAAACACACTCATTCACACCCAAAAAAAACACGGGAGTGTACTTGGAAAATATGGCGACGGGGAATTAATCTGTTTATCCTGCTCTTGTGCTTATTTATTTTCTCACTGTTGTGTCATTACAGATAAACATCAGATGGCTAATGTTTTGTTCACTGATAAGGAAAGAAAAGGTGTTGACTTTTTTTTTCTTTTTTCTGTAGGACAACCTGGCTTTAGCAGAAAGGGGAATTGTTTATTGTTCCGTTTATAAGGAAGCAAAGCTGAAACTGATTGTCTTGGTCGTCTAAGAAAAGGGAAATTCGGTTTTCTTCCTCTCTGAGGGAACAGTTACTGAGGACTTCATCATCCTTGTTTTGGATCCTTTTACCTACTCAGCCAAACATGATCTAAAAGAAGATAAAGTTTAGTTCCTCTTTTGTTGCCCGGCCGTCATTTCATTGTTTTTGAAAGGCAGTTCAAGGAAGGCATAACCTGGCAGGACTTCTGCTTTATTTTTAACTGCATGTTCTCATACTTCACAGTGAAGACACATAAAATAATTTGTTAGGAACAAATACAATATTTGATTACTGCAGGGTTTCTGTCCAGTCATGATGAATTAAAGAAATCTCAATTTCAGGTCTTTGAAATTTCTATAAATGCCACATTTTTCAAATCCCGGCCTGGACTCCTTCTGAATGGATTTTTCATGTTCTCCCTGTTCGTGCTGGATGAATATCATAGAAAAGTGAATTTATTTCAATTATTTAATTCAAGAAGTGAAAGCTGTTGCTTATAGATTCATTATAGATGGTGATGTACTTAATTCAGTTACTTGTGATAATGATTAACAGGGAGTGAAAACCTATAATTACATTTCTCAGAAAATGTTAATATGACATGAGAATAAAAAAAAATATATGTTATGTCAATGCAGTGGCCTACACAAAGTCACTGGCATAGTCTTCGAGAAAAACCACTTAAGCTGAAGGCGTGCAAATGGTTATACTCCACCATGTTAATGGAAAGTTGAGTGGAGGGAAAAATGTGGTAGAAAACAGTGCACACTAGCAACATGGAAATCGTAGCCCTTAGAGGACTACGTGAAAAGGTAACCCAGTCACAGAGCTTGGGATGTGGAGTGAGGCTGAAGTCAGCCTTTTAAGAGCATCACAAACAGACATATTGAGGACTTCACCTGTCACAATGCTTGTGTTAAGCCACTTCTATACTTCAGACTGTGTCAGAACAATCTTACATGTGTTTAGGAGGGGGAAAAAAGGACTGGATTGCTGTTAAAAGGTCCAAAGATCTCTCTTTAGATGAAGTTTACGTTTCATTTGTAATTCGAGGTCCCATAGTCTGGAGTTGGAGTGGAGAATCAGAATTGCTTTTGAAAGACGAGACACCAGGTGCAACATTGCAGAGAAAATTAAAGATACAAACATAGAAACATATGTTAGTACTGAATTAAAACTATTATGAATTATTTCATAGTAATACATTAATATTTAAAAAAAAAATCAGAAAATGAATTAGAATATTGACTTTTAATTAACAGCAATAATCACAATCATCTGAAAAACATATATTGCTGTGTGCTATAAAGTTATGTTGACATGTCAAAACCTGTCAATCACCAATCAGAGCTGATCAAAGAAAAATAATTTAATTGATGTATTAATAGTTTTAAAATACTTGACTACAATTGGTAGTGCCGGTGCGTCATATTCAGAGGATATGTGGTTCCCCTGGGTTCAGTTTCCAGTCTTGGTTCATTTGCTGCTTGTCTTCCCCCTCTTTCTTTTTTTAATAAAGGCCAACAATGCCAAAACATTAAAAAAAAACTTGTATCGGTTTATATAGTTTAACTTTAAATTGTCTCTAATGTAATTGATGTCTTCTTTGTAAATTACATCTGTTCCTTGATTACTTTTTCCAGTAAATCACAACAAAATGTCTAAATGCTTGACGGGTGCTAACCTATTTATGTGTAAAATTTTCTTGTGTTTTTTTACTCATTTTATTCATCTGATTTCATCTGAGTTTGTTTAAATTGGCAGACTTTACTGTGTTTAAAGGTTACTTTGTCTCTTGTGTTGCCCTTGACAAACTGGAAACTGTGTGTGCGCGTGTGTGTGTGTGTGTTGTCTATTGTGTCTTCACCCCTGAATATCTTATGTTAAGTTCTTTGTATTGTTTAGAAGTGTTTCGTGAAAGCTTTCATTACTTCCCACCTGCATGTAGTTTACTTCCTCTTTCTATGACGGCCGTCAGTTAAGTTTTTAGGGAAGTCTGTCTACGAGGAGAAGAGAGAAAGTTCCTTATGGCGCCCATGAGAAATGAGATGCTGTGTGATTAAGATACAAAGCTGGAGAGGAGGTCACCGTTGGGTGAAAAGGGAAGGTGGAGAGGCCACAAGCTGGAAACTTTGCGCCGTTGTGCACGTTATGTCTTTTAGGTCCGTGAAAGTCTTAATTGTTCAAGAAAACAGCAGGTAACAAACCATGAATCCCGCTTGCAACAGCGGGCTGACGGATGCCGCTAATTCCCCCTCTCCACCCACTTTTCCTCCATCCTGTTTCCTCCCTTCCTCACTCTGACAGAGCAGTAAGTGTAGCCAGCTCCACTGTACTCCCCCTGCAGCTCCTTAGACATTAATCCATTGTGATGACATCGACCTTGCTCTGAGACGCACACGCGTGTGTATGTCCAGCATCTCCCCTCCGGCTCATAACTACACAGGTATCACTGGTCCGTTCAATGACGATCTTCTCTCCTTGGCTGTCAAAACAGTGGTCCTGGGAAGCCCTAAAGACTGGTTGCTCAGTTAGCTGTGTGTGTGTGGGTGTGCGTGCGCGCGTGTGTGTGTGTGTGTGTGCCAGCGCATCCGCATATGTGAGACATTCAAGTTGTACCGTAGCCCTCTCCAACCTTGGCTGCAAAGAGAGCTGCACAGGGCCCCGGAGTTTTCCGGCAGCCTCCAGGAAACGAGGGGTCTTTGTCTAAAATGCACCCCCAGCTGAGGAGCCTGGTCCCTGGGCACACACAACTGTGACCCTGGGTCCCGGCCCTCTGGGTGACCAGCTCCCCTCCACCCCCCCCATCCCTCTGGAGAGTGGGGAAGAGGCAAGCTGAGCAACACATGAGGCCATCTGGTACCCAGCGGAGCCACCATACAGCAGCTATGAATGAATGTCACTCTCAGTATCGTTCAGCTGCGGAGTCCTGCAGCCTTCAGTAACGACGGCTGTCAGGCTGCTATGACTTCTATGAAATGTTCACCTATTGGAAGGTTTTGTAACCCTAACCCTTTTGCTTGGAAGACCTGATTGCTGGTGTTACAACTTCAATGTAAGATAATTTTGTCATCGTCAAGAGAGAAACCAATTATGAAACTTTGGAACATTAAACATATATTAATAATAAATAAATGTGATGAAACTAATAAGATACACTTCTTTTTTTTTCTTCAAATTAAAACCTTCCTCATTTTGTTGTTTGGATTTCAAATACAATTCATAAGAAATGAATCCATTTATATAAAACAGCCTGTATTTTAAGATTTCAAACGCAAACCTTACCTAAAACCATAGGGTAAAAAAAAAATGAAGAAAGAAAATGATGCACGGTGTTTTACTCTTACCATGTCTTTGTGTGTGTGTGTGTGTGTGTGTGTGTTGTATGAGAGTGTGTTTACGTTCGGGGTCAGGTCATGCAGATGGTGTGAAGTTGCAGCACAGACGGTTTCCTCAATTTAACTGCTTTTTATTATGCAAATTGCCCTTCAATGAGACACACTTGGAGTGTGTGTGTGAATAGGTTTGAGAAAGAGAAAAAGAGACTGTGTCCATTATTTGTGCTCATTTTATTCAAATTATATAAAGTAAGGCAAGAAGCAGAGCTTAAACCGAAGCCATTAAAAAATGAAAATACAGAAAATAACACGTCTTAGGATCAGTTTGTGTTTTGAATTATTTCAAATGTATACTTTCTCAACATGATTTTTTTTTTTTACCCTTTTATTTTATTGATTATTTCCATCTCTTCTTTTGCCATTGTCTTCAGAGGTGGGAGGGATCAGTGAGGAGACACCGTCCTGTGATTGGTGGAGTTTGGGCGCCATCCTCTTTGAGCTCCTGACCGGCACGGTGAGTCAAAAAAATATTGACTGTGTTCCTCAGGTGTTGTGGGATTTCTGTAGGTGTCTTGGCTTTCAGCTCTCACACACTCTTTATGGCTGTGCCAGGTGGTGTGTGTGATTCTGCACGCGTGTCTGTGTGTGTTTGAGAAGGTGGAGTTAGTTGGAGGGGGGGGAGGGAGGTGAGATTTGTGTGTGAGGTGCGTCTTGGCTGCGGTCTCTTACTACGCTTCTCGGGGAGTGCCAAAGGGGTGTCAGTGTGACTTTCTCCCCCAGCCTGAGCTCCATCTGCTGGGCCACTGGGTCAGCTCTCCCCGGTCCTCTCTGCTGGCTCCCGGAGCAGCGCTGGGCTCGGGGCGCGCTGACCTCAGATCAGCATGAAAGGTGAAGACCTGGGCAGCTCTCAGGATGCTGCAGCTTGTCTGGTCAAGGATCAGAGGAACCGTCTTTCAAGGAAGGCGTATGAGGAAATGAAACGTTTCCATAAATCGAAACACGCCTTTTTGTCAGCAACAAACTTTGCTGGGGTTACTGATATTTTGTGCGAACGATCAAAACTTAACCTCCTTTAAGTTTAGATAAAGGAGGTTAACTTAACTTAACCTCCACTGGAAAAAAAAAAAGGCAAGTAGAACCAGGTGCCTTTAGAAGTCACTTGTGTGGACTAACCATGAACGCACCATCTCCACTGTGAGACATGGTGGTGGCAGCATCATGTTGTTCGGATGCTTTTCTTTATCAGAACATGAAATCTGATCAGAGTTTATAGATTAATGGATGAAAACTGAATTCACTCAGCAAGAATTATGAACTGCTGTTCATAGGCGCTCTTGATGGTTTGATTACTTTGTGTGGTTTTACCACATCGAATCTGATTAAAACACGTTGCAATTTGTCCTGGTAACACATCAAAATGTGAAAAAGACAATGTACAAAATTATCATTTGCAGATTCCAAATATAACCTTTTTACGAAGAACAAATATATCCACAGTGTCAAGTGCAGTCATCGAGTGCAGCTGCAGTGTCTTTTCTGTTATTATTCTCTACCTATTTTGAATAAATTCTAATTGTGCGTCGGTGTGTGTACCTGTCTGCTGTCCGTGTTGGGTTAATGTTATGTTTTAACAATACGCAAAAATTTCCCCGGGTGGTAAAAAAAAAAAAAAAAAAAAGAAAGAAAGAAAGAAACCCCGCTACACAGATGTCTCCTTTGATGATTATGCCTTTGTGCGGCCTTGGCAGGAACACACACACACAGGCGCACACGGTGTCTCTTGATCCTTGCAGGATAAGATCTGGCCTGAAGCAGTCTTAACTGCTGGTAGGAACGCAGCCAGAAGTCCCGGAGCATCTTTCGCAGGAGAGAGAGAGAGAGAGACACACAACAGCTCTAACTGTTGGGGGGAAAATACACATCACTTATGGCTTTTACTTGATGCTTTGCTCCAGCATTTGTAGCTTTTTCGTTGCTGAAGCAGAGATAAGTTATTATTGTCAATTATGTTGACAGAAGGTCCATATTCTGCAGCTAAAAAGTCAAACTTTGAAAAACAACTTAAAATGCTCAGCATGAGTAAAGTACAACCTGACCAGAAACAATAATGTTTTTACTCTTTCTGTGACTTTCCCTCTGTCTGACTCCCACAACAGTTCCAAGAAAGACCAACAGCAGTGAGCTCATTAACCTGCTGTTTGCGTGATCAGTGTTGTTTCAGGTGCTCTGCCTGTCTGGTCTCCTCCTGTCTGTCCAGCTCCGATGCTTTACTGCTGACTTAGACTCTGCGGGTGTCGGACCGTTCTGTGTTTTACATTGATGGTTATCTGCCTCTCTTCTTTCCACTCCTGCCACCCTGTGCACAGTCGCTGCTGAGCTGCCATCCAGCAGGAATTGGCCGTCACACAGCTCTCAACATCCCAGAGTGTGTTTCAGGGGAGGCCAGATCTCTGCTGGAGCAGGTGAGAGGGAGCACCTACAACAAAACGAGGGTTCCCCCGACTCTAATAATTGATTTTACTTTTAGGTTGTTCTTTGTGGGGGGAAAATGTTGAATCTATATTCAATACTTCACTTTCGACAAATGTTCAGTTGCTTAACACAAATTGCAAATCGGTTAAGATTAATCGTTAAAAAAAGAAAAAAAAGAAAAACATGGTATGCTTGTTGGTACTATATGAGAATTTCCAAAACAGGAATGCACTGGGATTGTCTTTTTTATTCATTTAGTCATCTCTCAGGTTTATATGGAGAATGGTTGGAAAAAGAGAAAACAATCACTGAACTGCAGCTGTTTGGATGAAAATGCCTTCAAAGGAAAATGGAAAAAAAGGCAACAGTAGCTTAAATAAACACTCCTTACAACCAATGAATTATCCCCAAAACTGGATAATAACAGATTTGAAAAATGTTGCTTGGTTCAAACAGATTTGATTTTGACCACACCATTTGGATGCTGTGTTAAATAACCTGGGGGAAAAAAAAAAACATGCACCGACCACCAACAGCAGCTCAGGCACAGTTTGGACCAATTAGCTCTTAACTGAAGATAATTTCAACACCACAGCCTCCTTGAGTATCATCCTATAATATAATTCCTAAGGCCAGGACTTCAACACATTCATTTCGATTAATTAATTACATAAATTTTAATACTAAAAAATTAATGTAATCAATCACTTTTTCTTTGACTTGCAAGGGATAATTTTTTACAAAGGATATGGCTGGAAAGCCCGCAAATCTGACACAAGCGATCTTGCAAACAATCTTGCTAAGCATGGTGTAGTAAGCAGAGACGTCCTCAACATCGGTGTCCACAGTTCACATTTCTCAAGAACTATTTTTTTTTTTAAGAATTTACATAAAAGATCAGAGATTTCTGAAACACTTCAAAGCTGAATAGGAATAATATCTTTTTGCACCAAACTGGTGGAGGAATAACCTAAATAATAGATCTAAAACAATGCAGGATGTAACCTGGCAGCAGCAAACTGTGTCTAATGATGGGCCTAGTGAGTCAGTATTGTCAAATCTCGCTCCTCATCATACTTTTGGTTGTTTAGCTTAATATTATTTTCTGCTTTGAAAACAGACTAACATATTTCTATGAAACAAGTGTTTTTTGTTAATTACCTTAAAATAAAAATATATATATATATATGTCTAAGCTTAATGTGATTACAACTAAGGAATAGTGTGGGGTGCTTTTTGTATGAAAACAAAAAAACAGGGTTTAATGACTTACCTTAAATGATCATCAGTGTATGAACGTTTCCAGACAGATTAAAGGCAGATAATGAAACATAGTCTCCTCTTGATGGACATGTCCTTAATAATGTTGCTGGCACCATGCTGATGTCTTAAAGCTAATTGCAAATCCTTAGAACTGCTAATCTTTAGATGTACGTTAATGTGACTAGCTCGGATTTCCCTCTGCTTAATGCATAATAAATCTGACAGAAATGATGTGTTGTTGAGCCATGAAGGTGAATTTCCTGCATATATATTCATATATTTCTTGCTGAAAAAGTGTTTTTTTCCTTATTACGTTTTTTTCTTTTTTTTTTTTTTTTTTGCACCAGTACTCTCTAAATGCTGTTTTTTGTTTGTTGTGATCCAGTTACTCCAGTATAACCCAATGGAGAGACTGGGAGCCGGCGTGGGAGGAGTCGATGACATTAAGTCCCACCCCTTTTTTGCCACTGTGGACTGGGCCAAATAGATGCACAGCCAGACATTCAAATTCCCACATGCTACAGTGGATAGTGTTTTTCTTTTTTTTTTTTTTGTTTTAAACACCCTTGTTAAAATGTCAGGTTTTTTTATGTGTACAAATTAAACTATGATGAATAGTTTCAAACTCTTTCCACCTTTAATGTAACAAGTATGCTATACGATTCAACTACAAAACTAATGTGCTTGAGGGAAACATGTAAAAGAAGAAAAAGTTGAACAAATGTGGATACCCTTAAATTAATAATATGTTAAAACTTGGTTTAATTCAGTATTAGTTTTTAGTTTGAGAATTGTAGCCTGCTACACCTTAACTTAATATTTGCCTCCTTTTCTTTCCAAAAGTTATCCAAATGTGTAAGATTCAGATGACATATTTCATCTATAGTAGATGAAATATGTCATCTACTATAGATGACATATCTATAGTTTGACTTCAGATGAAGTCAGATGAAGTCAAACTTCATCTGACTTTCTGTCAGATGAAGTTCTGAAATCTTTGATTTCAGAATCTTAATTCTCCTCTATTAATACCAGTATTTTGTTGCCATTGAAAGAAAAAAAAATCATGCAGGAAAACAAAACCTTGCTTCGTCTTCTGCTTCTCCATGCGTTTTGTACCAAACATAAATATATTTAAGTTCTATTTAACTTATTCTTCTCCTCCTACAAAGTTTAAGAAGATTTTAGCCAGACCTTGAGATTTTCTTTCCAAGAATTGTCTTCTTTTTTAACCACTTTACTGCTCTGTCCAGACATATGGAGAGGTGATTGTTGTTAAAGGACAATTAGTACGAACCAGATTAAGGTTTTAGTCTTAGGTTCCATCTTTGTTTAATGACTGATATAACTATGACATGTATATAGATAATGCTGATGGGTCTTTTTTTCTGCTTTTCCTGACTGATACCTTCATAAACTGACCTTTTTCTAAAATATGAAAAAGGGATAGTGACAAGAATGACAAGAAAAGCCTTTTAAAACAGGAAATAAAGCTGAATTTAATTTCAGATTCACCATAACCGATGGCAGACATGTTTCAACAATGTATTAGTTTTATGATTAACATCAGGTTGTTGCAGCTTTTTAGATTTTTTTATTTTATTTTTTTTACAGGTTTCCCTTAAATACATTTTTCAATTGAATAATATTGGGTCTCCGACAGATTAACGGTGGAAAGACAACTGAAATTTTTTTTTTTTTTTTTTTTTTTGCCATCAGAAAGAACTCCCATTTTATTGGGACTGTGTAGACTTTTTACATTCACTGTAGAGTGAAATCAGATTATGCATTTCCTCACAAACCTTTAATCACGTTCGAAATATCACATCACGAGAGTAAAGTTTTTTCCCTCTTCACCTCATTGATTGTGAGTCGTTTTGTGCAGGGAACGGTGCAACGGTACCAAGTAATAATTCACTACAATGTTGTTGCTTTTCCACTCCTCACTCAGTCCCACAATATCTTCACTGCATTAACTCTGTGTCAGGAAGACATCATTATTGACAGAGGCTGATATCATCATCCCATTTATTGTTTCTCTTTACTCAAGGAGCTCACAGACTGACTGACGTGAAACTGTGCAGCTATGATTTAAAAACCGAAGTCTAAAAACCAGCCTAAGAACAGCAGCATTAACGGACTCTATGCAAAGGTGCATAAGCAAAATACTCAGAGAAAGTCAATGTTTGTTTTTGAATTTAGTCATAGTCGAGTTATTTAATAGATCAGTGCAGAGAAAAGTCTCAGGAGTAGAGTCATCTCTGTGCAGAAATCTGAGAAAGCCTCAAGCGTGTGTTTGTAAACGGCCCTTTTACAGTTCGAAGATATTTTTTATGACTGTCGGAGAAAAATCTCTGCCCTTTGCTCTTTACCCTGCATTTTGTGCATGTTGAATTAGAATGATTGTAATATATTTAAAGCAATGAAAAGTCTGTGGAATAATAAATAGCTTTCGTCTTGTAAAATTATCTTTTTATCTGAATGCTGTGTTCGGTAAAATGTAAACGTGGACAAATCTCGATCATGTTCAACTTCGTCAATCACCTGCCAGTCAAAATCTTAATGCGAGACACTGGAGTAACACATTTACCAATTTGCCACTAAGGTTTAAATAAGATTGTGATTTCTGCTGTGGCTGGTTTACATTTTTCTAGTTGCAGACCTTACCATGCATCACTTCTGTCTCATTATGAGTTGATTCTCAATATAGTGGAATCAGAAACATGTCTCCAGTGTAAATATGACTCTCCTGCTCTTCACTAAACATGGTGAAATACACTATAAGTTGCTAGCTTTAATAACAGTTTTTTTTTATTATTATTAAAAACATTGTTGCTACTGATTTTTATTATTATTATTATTATTATTATTATTATGCTCCCTTTTGTCCGTGCTCTGTGTTGTGTCAGTGCATTTTGGAGAACAATAAACCATACCTGGATGACTAAAGTGAACATTGGTGGTTCTTCTTGAGTAGACACACTGTGTGTGTGTGTGCATGCGTGTGTGGGTGTGTGTTGTTTGTTTTCAGGCTACAACTTGTCTTATCCGCTGCAGATGATGCTCGTAGAAAGCTGCTGTCACTCCAGCTGATCGTCACATCGGCCATAATGTGAGCTGAAGAACACTGTAGTTTGTACCCAGCAGTCAAGTGATGCCTTTAGGACTCGATTAGTGTTTTTTCCGCCTTCGTTTATTTACCTGCTCATTTGTGTGTCACTAAAAGCTATTGTAAATGGAGAATACAACCAGGTCTATTTAGTTGCACCTGAATAGAATCGAGAAGTTTTCAGTAATTTGTCTCTTAATGTTGATCGTTGTTGTTTCTCAAAAAAAGAAAAAAAATTGTCAATTACATCAAACATTAAAAAATGATTCCTAATACCTAAGACGCGACTTTCACAGTCATGGGAAAACTACTGTCTTGACATTTGCTCTTCAGATAACCATCCTCAGTGAGCACAAGCCATACCATGCCATTGCTTAAAAAATGCTGTGCTTTCAGAGTGCTGTTTTCAAAAGATGTTCATGGAAGATTAAGTGGAAGGAAAAAGTGTGGCATAGAAAATGAGCATATATAGAACGAATAGGGTTCACTTCAGCCTTGAGAGAATTGTGATGCAATGTCCTTTCAAGACTATGGGCTGCAGCTGGAGTCTGTGTTTTAACAGCCATCACACAGACTTATAGAGTACATGACCTACAACTGTTGAATTTTTTCTTTATTGCCTCTGAATCAGACAATCAAAATCAACTGGACTTTTCTGAGTGGTCTAAAGGCCTCTTTCAGATGAACATATGTTTTTTTTTTTTTTTTTTCTTAAATCAAGGTCCTGGTGGCTGGAGGAAGAGTGTAAAGGCACAGAATTGAAGTTGCTTTGGATCCAAGCTAAAGTTTCCGCAGTAAGTGATGATTTTTAGTTTTTATTATGGTGTTTTCCAAATGCGTTTTACTCAGAAGTTGGCGCAGCCATCAATCAGAAAATGACGAAGCACTTTATGGTTCTCTGTGCTTGCAAACTTTATGGAGATGCTGATTTTGTCAAGACTTATACTTGGTTTAGTAACAATGCTGTTACTGCATCTCTGCTTAATTGGTCAACAAACCTGACTTAAACCTTACGGAGAATCTATGGACCGTTGTCAAGGGGAAAATAAGAGACACCAGGCATAAAATTTATTGAAAAGGAGCCTATCTTAGAAAAATATATGAGTATGTTTTTCAGTAGGCGGACATCTGTGTTTTTTTTTCATAGGTGTTGTAAATCCAATTCTTAAAATTGCAGTACTTTTCAATTGTTTTATAATTCGTACAAATCCACATGGATGTTTGCAACATGAATATCTTCCTTGAGTTCATGTTTTTAAACATTTGCATTTAAAATGTTTCTATTTATTAATTAATTAAGCTTTTAACAAAAAAAACAAAAAACAAAAAAACTGAAAAAGCCAAGATTATACCCGCTGGTTCTAGACGACTTAGGACGGAAAGTAGCAGCGTAGTTACCTCCCCACTCTCCCCCTCTAAATGTGTTTGATTAAGTTATGATCCCCAAGTATGACTGCCTCCATCGAAGCCAGGGTCTTTGCAGTTTGCTTGTCGGGAGCATGTGGGTTTGTCACACAATGCCAAAGAAAGACAGCAGCCAGAACCTTAGACAAGTAATTGTTACTTCACATCAATCTGGAGAGCACTGTGAGGCCATTTCCAGACAATCTGTGCAGTACACGGACTGATCCAATCTTCCCAGGAGAAACAGATTAAGGGAGATTTCAACCTAAGATCTGACTGTTTAAAACTCTCAGAAATACCTAGGATTACAGGATTACAGCTCTCCTCCAGGCTCTGAAAAATTCGCTTCATGACTTAATGTATGGTGGAGCTTGTAGTTTTGTCCTGACTTCAACATTCAAAGTCCTCAGCCAGAACTACAGGTTATGGAACAAATAAATGAATGCCACCATTACATTTCACAACAAACGCAATCTTAAAAGCAACGGATGAAAATTCAAACGCAACTACAGGTGAGCCAGCATCGAGAATCTGGGCGCATTTAGGAGTTCTTTAGGCCTAAAATTAGGAGCACTAATTATAGAGTCCACAGAAACCCTGCAAATTGTTTTACAGCATCTCACCAGATGGGGTCTTAAAACTGTTGCAGACCCAATTTTTCAGCCACTTTGGTTGCATACGTCGTAATTTTCCCCAGTTCTCTCTATCAGATTTATTGTTAATAAAACCGAAAAATGTTTTATTAGTCATGATTTTTGAAGAATAAAAATAAAATTTGCTCAAATTAATTAATCTCAACCAACGCCCGGGAACCAAGATGAAAAAGAAAGTTTCTGTACGAAACTTCACGGAATTTTGGTAACTTCCCAGGAAATTTTATCAGATGGATTTTGCCGAATGTGAACTTGTTCCGTCTCTGTCTCTCCTACCTGAAATGACACAGTCATGCACTCACAGGTGGAGTTGCTAGCTGTGTCGCAGCGTATTCCTTTGTGTCAGCTTTACGGCCGTGGGGGTCAAGAGTGTGAGCTGATTAGTGCTTGTCACAAGACCTGTCTCACATTACACACACTCTCGGGGCGAGAGGTTCACTTCAGCTCTCTGCAGATAGCTGTCAATCTTACTCAGTCTGGATGTGCCTTCGGTGAGTTCACGGAGGCTGCAGGAATTCCTCTGAGCACATTTTATGATTTTCATAAAGACTACATTTAATTCACTCTCTGACATTGTGTGGTTTAGGGTTAAAAGACTTAAAGCAGTTCTATATGTTTTAAGACTTTTCGTAGCTTTTAGTATGGGAGAAGCGGATGGTTAAGTAACCGTTTTAAATGCAGACGTATTTTTAGGATGGTCTTCCATGTTTTGCGATCATAAGTCATTCTTTTTTTTAATTAAATTTAGAAAAAAAATATTTCCCCATTTGTCTGCTTTAAAATTAGTAAATACTAGTTTGAGAAGATGATGTGACTAGAATACGTCATCCATCGTCTTTAAAACTGCTCGGATCTTTTTATCGTTTCCCTCCTTACACAGAGAATCAAGGTGCATGAGCTCTAGTTGTGTCTTTTTGTGTGGAACCCAAAGAGATGGGCTCCACACATCTCTTTTATCTTCCGTCTGGTCAGAGGGAAGATAAAGAGGACACGCCAAGGACTACCATGATGCAACACGGGCCTCACTTTCTGAGCCCTGCAAACATCACCAGGGCCTGCAGGCTGAATTGACCCCTGACCCCCTTGTGAAACTTCCCAATGCCCCCTTCCTCTCTGGTTCTCTCTCTCCCTGGTCTTTTCCCACCTCCGTCTCCCCTTAAACGCAACTCCCCAACGCTTTCACGCAGCGCGGAGCAGCAAAATGGCCTGCCCTCTGCTTCATATTGCTGGTGGTCAGGTTTTGTTTTTTTGTCTTTTACGGTTTGACTTTCATTCACAAAGTCCAGGAGGACTCGGATAGCCCAGGGACAGACACACACACACACACACACACACACACACACACATGCACATGTACACTTGCACCAAGCTGAAGAGTTTCGCTCTGAAACCTCGGGCATCTTCTCCAGCTTCTGTCAGAGCCATGATGTCATTATTAGGAGACACAATGCCTCTTCATCATCCCCTATTCACACAGTCTCTCTCACACACTCAGCCTTACCACAGAACAGGCAAACACACACACACACACACACACACACACACACACACACACACACACACACACACACACACACACCCACACAAGCTTCATGGTCAAACACATCAGGACCAGCAAAGATCTAGACACAGGTGAACAGTGGCGTGAAAAAGGTAAAAACAAGCGCAGGTACATTAACCTTTTCGAGTCACTATTTCCTATCAGTGAATCTTTCTTAATTTGAAGGAAGCATGTATGCAAGATAAGTCCCAAAGGCATGAAGATGCCTTTTAATACTCTTAAAGTCTTTATATAAACAGACACAACTTAATATATAAACATTTATGCATTTTATAAGTGAGTCCTTTAGGGAACTGAAAATGATCCAATTAAATCAATGGACTTCGGAGTGAAATAGGCCTTTCTTTTGAGTATTGTAAGGCCTTCTGACAAAAATACATAAATAAAAATGTTTTAAGGAGAACACGGAACATGCCACTATAATTGATTTATAGCAACAGTCCTTTGTGGCACAAGCATATAGTTTTATAATAAATATATTTTGAGCAGAAATGTGCAACAATGAGAAATTAATTTAATTTCTTGTACTTTACAGGTCAATGTTTTACAATTAGTTTTGCCATGCACTTTATGTTAATCTATGCATTATAATCCCAATTAAAAATACATTGAGATTTATTGTTGTATTGTCACAAAATGTGGGCAAAGATCAAGGGGTGTTAACACTTTTGCACATCTCTACAACACTTATATTAAACCATAATATGACCAGTGCTCCTGCTATACATTATAAAGAAGATGTAATATCAAAATCTAAGAAAATATCCAAATGTTCGCTCTGGTGCCACAACAGTGACTGAGCGGATTTGGCCCTGCAACTCTAGAGAGCTTTCAAATATGTTTAAAAACTCTTCCCAGTTAACGATAGGTAAGGTCTCTGGAGGTAAAAATAAAGGTCTAACTAAATCTCCTCCTGGTCTGACTTTAATTAGCTGCTGTTATTCTACGTGTTACCGTGGGTTCACTGCTCTTCTGCCTTAAGGCTGTGTCACGTTTTAATCTGATCAGATGGCACAAAGCAGCTCTGTCTCTTGACTTAGCTCCTTTTATTGGATGGAACATGTAAAGCACTCCTCTTGTAATAAGGTTACCATGCTAAATACTTCATCTGTCAGCTTACAATCCATTTCTCATTGCTGTTTCAGCCACAGATTAACTATAAATTGATCGTAATGTCAGAGCGATCTTTGGAACAGATCACCCAGTTCGTCCCCCCTCCTG